AAACCACAATAAATGCTATTGTACTTTCTCAAACAAAATTACAGTCCTTTGTGACAAAAAATAAGTGAAAGAACTGCCTGAAACAATCATCTAAACACCCAAATGGATCAAAGGAGACAGAGATATTGCACAACTGATCATAATGGTGTCACATGACTTTCATAATCTCACCCGGACAAAATGACCCTATGTATGAGTGCATGTGTTTATTATTCCTTTGAATATCCTCATGATTAGTGCTTTATGGTGTGTGTTTAAGCTTTAGCCATGACTGTTCTTTGTATCTGTGGTGTTTCTTGTCTCGTTCTTTCATATGCCAACATAAGCTATCTGTGAATCACTCGTCTGTGAATCTGTGAAGCAGACTTTATATGCACTTCCGCTGAGATAGACAGAGGAAATGAATGAGCGCTATCTGATGACATCGAGTGCGGGTCATCCATGTGCTCTGATGTCACACCAGCCCCTCTAACCACTGGACAAATCTGCACAACACGTTTAGCAGCAGTGTGTAAGAAACTGCAAGTCTGGTGTCTGTTAAGCAGTGGAGGACTTGCATGGAATGGTAAGGGGGATTGTTTCTCATTAGTTGACTGTTGTTATCTGGTCTCATGTGATGTTCAGCACGCAGTTAAGCTCAAACAAGAACGGTCTCAGACTGTTGAATGGGCTTCTTGTATAAACTGCAAGGAAGGAAATGTGAGGAGTGCTTGCCTCTGCAGAACCAGGTGTTGCTATGCGGATTGCTAAGGTGTTTTGACTAGTTTTAGTATGTCGCTCTGGGGTTTCTAGGGTGCTTTGGATGGTTTCTGGGAAGCTTTCCTTATTGGCACAAGTTAAACGAGCCCATCAGTCATAAGTCTATAATTTTATGGTCCCTAAATACAGTACCATTCAAAAGTTTGATGTTGGTAAGCTCTCCAAGGCTTCATTTATTTGATCAAAAATACAGTAAAAAATAATAATACCGTGAAATATTATTGGCATTTCAAATAACAATCTTATATTTGAATATATTTTAAATAGTAATTTATTCCTGTGATGCAAAGCTGAATTTCCAGCATCATTACTCCAGTCAATGTCACATGATCCTTCAGAAATAATTTAAATATACTGATTTGATGCTCAATCATTTTTTTTTGTAACCTTATAAAAGAATTTGCTGTCACTTTTGATCAATTTAATGTGTTCTTGCCCTATAAAAGTATTGCTTTCTTTAAAAACACACAATCTTTTGAACAATAGTGTATGTCTCATGTTTTTACTTCGCTATATATGATTGTATCATCCACTAGTCCATCTTATAATCATTTAGAATAATCACTTTGAAAAGTAACAGTACACCTCTCATCTCATGGCTATGGGTTTGGTCATTAAATAGAGGAAGAGTGGCCAAGAAAATATTGATTGTGCTTGAATTGTGAAATAGGCTGTTTTTGTATTGCTGTTGAATGTGAATATGAATGATATTTGGCTCAGCTGCTCTGTGGTAAGCTTTGTTAAGCAATGTTTGGCGGACATGCCAGATAGAAATCACTGATGACAAACTTGAGTTTGACTAATTTTGCTCTTCTGGATGTACTTTAGTACATTGTTCTCTTTGAATAGTTTGTCAAAACAGGCAGAAGGAGTATTATTTTTGATCGTCTCTTCCGAATAAACAAAAGTGTCAGTACAATGTTACTTTTAAAATAATGTTCTAAACATGCAAAAATTATTATTGGTCACACTTTATTTTAAGTGTGTCCTATTTTCACTATTAACTAACCTCAATAAACTCCTAATTACTGCTTATTACTAGTTAGTAAGGTAGTTGTTAAGTTTAGGCAAGGGGTAGTGTTAAGAAATCTAAAATAGGCTCATACAGAATAAGGAATTAATATGACAATCTGCTAGTAATATGCATGCTAAGCATATTAGCATGTTAATGCTAATAGTGAGAATTCTACCAGTGAAATTTAGGCAAAATTAATGTGACCACACCTTAACACAGATAATTAGTTAAGTTAATAGTGAGAATTGGTCCCTAAACTAAAGTGCTTCACAATGCTGATAGTCTCAAAATGTTTATTTGAATTAGCTGATAGCTCAGTCTGAGTTTGAATTTGGCTTGTAACTCGTCTCAAGCTGTCCCACTGTCTTTGTTTGGCAAAATTGTGAGGCTTAAGTGGGAATATGAATCAGAATTATATTTAGCTGTGACGGTTACATTTAAAAGCTAAACACATTTCAAGGTCTGATATGAAGAGGATCACATCACAAAACAGAGGCACGAATACCTGGCACAAACACTGTGGAGTTTTGAATATATAAGTCGGAAATATTTGGCATTTTGCTCCATTGTTATGTTGTTGAAAGAATGTAGCAGAAACCCGCCTGAGCCTGGTTAATGTTACTCTCACAGGAAGTGGATGGTGGGATGAGTAGAGTACAGGAAGTGGTACAAATGAGGGTGGGAGTGATGACAGAATGCCAGATGTGTTGGCTACATGAGTGTATGGATGAATAGATGTATAAGTAATACTTATACAACCCATGTGCAATAACTTGTGTCTCAGGTAGCTTAGGACATTGCATGTCGATTTTAATTAAACTGAAACTACACATGGCATGCATTATTAAAAACAAATCCCTTCTATGGAGAAAATTAAAACGACAGGCTTTAAAAATTACTTTACATAGGTCATTGGAATAGCTGCTTGCCATCAACGGAGAAGTGAACTGGTCAGACAATCAAACATCTTGCCCTTTTTAAACTGGAATTATCCTTGTCAAACTAGACTGCAAATTGCCTCCGCATCATGTTTGGCCGTTCCTCTGGCCTGGAGCTGCAGTTGTCGGTCATAGATACTGTTTGAGAGTTTCCTCCTTGGGAGCTGGAGTTGTTCCAGAGGAGAGTCTGATCCAGGATTAGGCTGTAGTCACTCATCAGGACAAATACTGAGGCCTCAGCTGGTCTGGAATCGGTTTTGGGCTGCTAGTATCAGCAAGTCTGCTACTTCAGATACGGTGGATCCACTGGAGTGACTCGGCTCAAGTGCTGTAATCTAAATGAGTCAGCATTGGCTTATCACCAATACCTGTGCGTCCTTGGGTGTTACAAACCCTCTGACAGGGGTGTGGGCACGCTCTCATGATGGACAATATTGACAAACATACTGTAGAAGACAGACCTGTTCAGTATTTGTTTTAATTAAAGATTCGTTATTTGAATTATTTCATTTATTTGAAGTTTTGTAATAATAGCTGAGAACATGCTTAGTGTATCGATGTGATGTCATGGTGAAAACATTGAATGTCAGTCAGAGGCGTCATGTGCACGTGCCCCCTCAGATTTTATGTAGCTTCCAAAAGACCAAACTAACCGAATAATATATTTTATATTTGATACGATCACACCAGTGTGATTAGAACGTTCAGTGCGGTACAGCATCAGCTGCTAAATTCAAATCTGCGTTCGCGACGCGAACTTCATGCTTTGGCTGGCACTGAGCCAGAGACGGATGCATTTTTACAGCGCTGAGCTGCATTGTAACCAATCACACACTGTTCTGAGATTATGAATGCAATGGCCTACCAGAGACGTTCAGATGAGTCATCGCTGAAACGCAGTGCTTCAGTGATTATAATAGGAATTTGGAGAGTTCTTGAACTCTGGCTATATTGAAGTCAGTAATGTTCTTTGATAATGTAAATGTTCTTTGCTCTCTTTCTGTACCATGAAAGTGCTATAATTAGTAACTTACAGTTTTTAGTAAATTCCTGTTACATACGACGGCAGACGTATTAATAATATTTGATGGCATGACACCCATATGTAAAAAGACGGGTTTTATGCATTCTTTGATAGTGTACATGTCCTTTGCTCTCTTTTTTGAATAAAAAAGGAAAAAGGAAATAAAACCAATAAGCCTACATCAGTTATACAGCGCTATCGTGGCTGCTGCGTGTCACATGACAAGCATGACGAGACCCCCACTCGTGCCCCCTCAAAAATAAAACGTGCATGACACCCCTGATATCAGTGGATCTGAAAGTTCCGGGAGTGGCCGAATAATTATTAAAATTCTCATTTAAATGCCTTTAAAAAAACACTAAAAATAAAGGTGTACAACATTAAATTGACATCATATTTTATGTTTATTAATTTTTATTACAACAGAAATAGCAGAGGTAAGAATACAAATAAAGAAAAGCTGAATAGACCAAAGAGAAATTAAAGTAGATTAATAAATGTTAGTTTTATAATCTTATAAGTAAAGGTTACAGTTAGAACCAAAAGTGCTGTCAATAGAAGTCATGTTATATTATACGTTTTATATAATATAGCCAACTCAAGAACCCTAATAAAGTGAGAAATGAACCCTTTTTGCTGAACCCAAGGTACTTCAAAGAAAAGTGACAAATGCTTATTAAAAAGCAATTGTTCACCCAAATGCTGTCATCATTACTCACTCTCATGTCTTTCCACTCCCATAGAAGAAGAAATTTTACCAAATAAAATAATTTAACCAAAGCGGAAATATTTAAATATGGCATATCAAGACATTTAATTTCATTTTAAAACATTATATATTGCAGCTCAACAAATTATCTGTTAAGGTGTGGTCACATTAATTTTGCCTAAATTTCGCTGGTAGAAAAAAGTCCATTGTCTATTGTCAATAGCGATGTAGGCTATAAAGCTCTGCTTACACCGAAGTCGAAGTTTTGAACCAAGCAGCTTAGTAGGTTCCTATTAGAATTACTGGAGTTTGGTTGCGAAGTTTCACAGAGCAGTGGTAAACTGCACCTTTACGCGAAAGAAAGAAGGTCAAATTGGTTTGGAACAGCATGAAAATGAAAAAAATTAGCTCACAACTACAAATAATTGCTATTTAATAATTTAAAGATGTACCTCAGTTTTATAAATGTTTCTTAAATATGAGGGATTTGTGATTTATTTTTTTCAGAATAACTGTTAAGGAATTGTTTATCTGACAAACTCTTTTTCTCAACAGTGATTGTGACATCATGGCCTCAGGATCTCCAGACGTCACAGTCGCTACTGAACCATCAGAAGCAGCAGAAGAGTGTTCAGGTAACGTCCCATTCGGTGTTTAGCATCCTTGTGAACAACAAGAACATCCATCTCACTCTGTCATACATTTTTTCTCACATAGAGATCAGACGTGAAGTATTAGCACACTCTGAACTCAATGAAGAGACACACGATGCTAGGTCTCACTGAAAGGAAGTCATGTAGCACACAGACAAAGCCAACATTTGTCTCTCCCATACGAACATGCGTTCCGCTGTCCGACATTTGACCTTTCTCTCCAGTTTAGTGTGGGAAGAAGGAAGCCCAGACTGCTAGAGTCAGATCCTGCAGCGCAGACGGCGGGTCTGCGTGGTGATGTGGATTAGCCATTTCCTCACAAAATAGGGTGCTCACAGAGCCCCGATAATCTCCTCTACCGGATTGTGGGTCTATCTAAGTTCAAGAGTTATTCAGTGGCTAGGGTGTGTTTGGGAGGTGTTAATCTTGAACAGATTTACCACAGGATGATGATAATTGATCCATGACTGGGGTTACATTCATTAAATGCATGGCCGTTACCTTACACACGAGTCAAAGGGTCCAAGTATAGTTGGTATGAATCTAGCTATTTTTTTTAGATGTAAGGATTTCTGAATCTGAATCTTCTACTTTTGAATCTGTCTACAAAACAATGTGATTCATTCAATGATTAATTCAATAACCCTTCCTGTAGCCTACATTATTACATACTTTAGAATTATTTATTTATTGCTTATTCAAAAATATAGACTAGATTTTCAACCCTCTACATTACGAGTAAATCACTCGCATATGCGACTAAATCTTCACTCTGGGCGACTAAATGATGTCTAATATTAGCCAGTGGCTAATAAATTCTCCGATTTTACTCGCCAAATCGGAGTGAGTTGGAGGCTAAGTTCAAGTTTAGCACAGATATATTTTCACTCGCCGAACACTCTGACTGAGCGCTTCAGAGTTTCTCTCTCCGTCAAGCGATCTGCGCTATTTTTCAGTTCATCTCAATGGATGCGCAGCGCACCTGTAATTGGCGTACCGTAAACTCTAGTGTAATGGCGCACGACTCGCCGTCGCTTTGGTGAGAGCAGAGAGAGCGAGAGAGTTTTACTTGCGTATGCAGAATTGACGCGCTACATGTAAACGATATTCTTTGTTATATTTTCCTGTCAAAATAACGGAGTTCCTTTGGATTTTTTCAGCTTTTAAGAACTGCCGGGTTTTCTGGTCGTGGGCGGAACTAATGCGCAAACGACAATCGAACGCACACAACCTGATTAATATTCATGAATCCAGCAGCTTGTTAATCCTTAGTGCGTTTTATACTGTTCTTATTAGTAGAATTCGTATTATTATTATTATTATTATCTTATCAGTATTATTAGGGCCGTTCGCACCGCTTTAGTTCCAGAACTAAATGTACAGTACTAAAGTATTGGGACGATTTTGCTCGAACTATTTCCCAGTACCATTTAAAGGGTTGCATTCGCACCGAGAGTGTGTACTAAGAAGTGACGTAAGCCGGTCGACAGCGTCGTCATTTGTGCGCGGCGTTCAACAACAGAAACAAAGAAGAACAACATTAACAACAGGAGGATGGAGGACGCTGTGATTAGAGCTGTTTTTGTTGTGTCTCGCGGGTTTCACAATAATGGACATGGAAAGTCGACGTATACGTAAAGCGATTGAAAGAACGGAAAGGAGGACTAAGAATCTCCAACGACAACTGGCAGTGCTACATTTGCTACAAGTGACTGCACTTGAGCGTCCGTCCATCTATCGCTGTTCTCCATACTTGCGAAATAAGTTGACACAATGTTTACAGTATGTTTACACGGCGTTTTAAATCATGGCGGGTATATATATATATATATCAGTCTGGCGCGTAAACTAAAAAATGTACCAACTAATGGTGATTCAATTGCCAAGGTGTCCATTGAGGGTTGATTTTAGTACTGATTCAAATGATTTGAATCATTTTACCAAAAAAGCTCATTTAGATTCATTTAATGATTCATTCAGTGACCCTTCCTGTGTGATGCATTATTACACACTTTAAAAGTATTTTCATAATTGCTGATTGAAAAATATAGACTAGCTTTTAGTACTGACTCAAATATTCTGAATTAGTTCATCAAAAAAGCTCATTTAGATTCATTGACTAATTAATTTAGTAACCCTTCCTGTAGGCTACATTATTGCAGATTTTATATTACACTTTGAATGTTTTTAATTGTTCATCCACAGTGACATGCTAATTGCTGGAACATTGATTCTTGCAAGTGAGCTAAGTCATCTGAATCATTTAACAAGAAAGCTCATTCAGATTCATTGATTGATCCATTCAGTAAGTCTTCCTATACAGTCATGGCCAAAAGTTTTGGCAGTGACATAAATTTTGTGTTTTGCAAAGTTTGCTGCTTAAGCTGTTGTGGTGTTCATTCACATTGTTTCTAGATTATTGTGTAGAGTGAGTGGATGCATTTTAAATAATTGCTAAAAGCTTCTTGACTCATTATATTTTTTTGCCAATAAAAGCCTTTTAAAACTTATGATATGCTTATCATTGTTGTTCAGTATACCATAGAAACATGTGGAAAAAATAATCTACAAATACTGAAGCAGCAAACTTTGCAAAACACAAAATTTATGTCACTGCCAAAACTTTTGGCCATGACTGTACTCTCCATATAGCACACCTTAAAAGTATTTTCATAATTGCTGATTCAACAATAGAGGCTAGATTTTTACTACTGACTCAAATATTCTGAATCAGTTCATCAAAAAGCTAATTCAAATTATTTTGTTGATTCGTTCAATAACCCTGCCTGTAGGCTACATTATTGTAGATTTTATATGATAAATTAGATAAATATGTTTTAAATTGTTCATCCACAGTGACATGCTAATTGCTGGAACATTGATTCTTGCAAGTGAGCTAAGTCATCTGAATCATTTAACAAGAAAGCTCATTCAGATTCATTCAGTAAGTCTTCCTGTACTCTATATTATAACACACTTTTAAAGTATTTTCTTGCTTATTCAAAAATCTAGAGGCTAGATTTTTACTACTGACTAAAAATATTCTGAATCATTTCATTAAAAAGCTCATTCAGATTCATTCATTGATTCGATCAATGACCCTCCCTCTAGGCTACATTATTATAGCTTGCAGATGTTATATTGCACTTTGAATATGTTTTTAATTGTTCATCCAAAGTTACATGCTAATTGCTGGAACATTGATTCTTGCGAGTTAAGTCATCTGAATCATTTAACAAAAAAGCTCATTCAGATTCATTATCTGATTCATTTAGTAACTTTTCCTATAGATTTCACGATTATGCCTTGAATTGTGGTCGTCAGTATTTTTTTCACATTAATAAACTTTTGAGTCATAGACTCAATTGTTAGTATGTTCAATAGGTTCATATATCTTCAGTAAGTTCATCTAACCAATAATATCCTCCTTTAAAGCTTGCATTGTAAGGCTGTTTGCTCATGCTGCAGTTAGTGGTTGAAGGTAGAAAAAGCAATCACGTCTCTCTGCTACAAGGGAGAGGCCTGAATGGAAAAGATGAGTCATGGTAGTGAACAGGACTATATTGTTCACTTAAAAGATTGATTTCAAATTACTGAGTTGAAAAGATGCAGTGCAGACCCTGGGAAAAAGACAATTATAATATATTAAAAGTTAATTTTGAATTTGATACTAGTTTGAATATTTTTAAATTATTTTGACAATGATAAAGTTGATTTATTGTAACTTTTGCTGTGATATACATGCATAAACAATTATTGTACATCCCTGAAATAAAACCTCGGCGTAAACAATGCAAACCTTTTTCCTAGGGCACTTAGGGTTTAATGTGGCCTCATTTAAACATAATGAGGCTCTGTTCTTAGAAGGCAATATTTAGCATCCCTTACTGTGTAATCAAATAACCAAGCATTGAGTGGTTTATAAGAGACAGTTAGATCTCTTTCACTATGTGTTGTTTACTGCCTTTAGACGGGCCCCAGCTGGAGACTGTAGGCTTTGCCAGTAGAGCTACATCATGTGACTCTCCTCAAGACGAGAGTGAGAGAGACAGGATGTCAGACAGCAAGGGAAAACCAATACACAAAGCCTAAAGTCATAATCGAGTTCTCAAAGACTGTATGGAGAGCAGTAAATTCACTCACCAAAGCTGTGATTTTATTCTCCAGCAAGTTTTTATTGAGTTGAGTTGAGTTGAGTGAAACTAGCTCTGTTCCAAAACCTAGCAAGCTGCCTACCTAGACAGCATTTTTAAGGAATCACCAAACATAAAGACTGTTCCAAAAGCTAGGCAGTAACATAGCTAAAATACTGTATTTTGGCCTAATCGCATGTATCCTTCATTGAGAAGTCAATTCAAGAATGCACTGTGAAAAAGTAAAATGTGGCGAACATAAAAAGTCATTTCTATCATGACAACTCTTGGAAAATTTTAGCATGGTAATGAATATGACAGTGTTAATGTATTTGGTCTTGTAGGAATAGATCTGTTACGCTGCTGCTGCTGTTGGTTATTGCGGTTGTTGTAGATTATTGCTGCTGCTGCAAAACAAGTACAGGACCTTGCTACTGCCAGTGCATACGACGATACGGTGCTGTGACAATTTAAGACATACTGCTGCTGCACAAGTAGCATATAATAACCCGTAGCAGATCTATACAGGTGGAGCTGGGGAAGGTGGAGGGTTTCAGAGGAACTCAGCAGTAAGCTCATTGGCTGTGTATGCAATATGAACCAATCAGCGTGTGCCAAGTAGTTTAACGCTGTGAATATCAACAATTTGCATTAACGACCCATCAGCCTGCGCAATCTAGAGTTTCATGAGAGAACTTGGCAAATTTAAACTACAAAGGTCTTACAGAAGTGCTTCTGACGTGCCATTTAAGTCTCTTTAAACGGACTGTTAATGCTGCTCAGAGGAGGCACACAAATTTTAACTGCATTATTATGCTAGGGGCAGAGGTGGGTCAGAGCAGGAATAATTTATTCTGGTTTTTATGCTGCATTACGTCTTTCTCTTTACACAAATTTTTGAGCAGGCACAGAGCAGCCTTAACTCAGCTGTGTAAAGATACCTTCAGAGTATCATGATGTTAGTCAAATTCTATTGGATTGGAGTCAGTGGCTGTTAGGATAAATAGATCTAGGATGTTTAAAACAGTCAAGTTGGCTAGTGTTGTTTTTAAAAATCTCCCCACAACAAGTGCAAGCCATCACTGAGAATTGTGTTTGTTCTCACAATTCTACTAGTGTGTGACTCTAATGACTCTACTAGTAAAGGTCGTCATCCCAGTATTGTTCACGCAGCTGTACTTCTTTAAAGACCACTGGCTTTGTCAGTAGAATGAGACTGACCTTTTAATGTTTGTTTTGGCTTTTTAAGCCTTTCTGGCTCTTAACCTTTGGGATGAATAAAATCAGTTTGTAATCTAATTGTTAAAACTGGCTGAAATCCCCAACACTGCATCTTAAGCTGTGCACTGCAGGGGATGTCATAGTCACATGTCATGATGCATGAAAAATACACACCAAATTAGCTAATGTTTCTATTGGGCACTATACATAGAGACATCTATATGATGAAAACAAACATTTCATTGTATTCCAGTGAACTGCATCATTGATTAACTAAGAAATCACGTACTTTATTGGCAACTAAAGATAAATTAGTGTTACATAAGCACCCAGGAGGGAATATTTATGGGTCTACAATGACATTTTGTTAAGTAGTTATTATATAAACACATTTATTATAGTATTATACAATCCAAAGCAATTCGCTGTCAGATGTACTTTACCACGGTCAGTAGGACTCCTCACTTTACCATCTTGACCCCAATGCAATGGTGTTTGCGTCATAATCTACGACGTGATTGTTTAAACCTGCTGTATATATAATTTCTAAGACTTGAGGGCCTGCAAACATGATCGTCTGCCAGTTGAACTTATTTTGTTTAGATAAGTGAACACTGACATATTGTAAGCACATGTTCAATGTTTGCTTTATGCAAGCCTTTCAAAATTCAAGATTCTCCTATGAGATGCCTTCAAAAGTGGTACTCATTTAAATATATATATGTTGTTTTTTTAATCCAGGGAAAAAGAAGTCCAAATTCCAGACATTCAAGAATTTTTTTGTAAAGAAAAAGAGGAAGGAAAGTCCTGCACCATCGAGTGAAAGTGGTTTAAAGGCTAGTCAATCGAGTGACGACGTCAACACCTCAAAGCCAACCATCATCCATGCCAACAGCGACAATGACCGCGGGTGAGGGAATACAGTTAAAATCACTTCGATTTTTATTACTATACTGCATTTCTGTTATAATTTATATACTGTATATATATATATATATGAATCTACTTCAACATATGCTGATAACGGTATAAAGCTAACTGTTTTAATTTATTCCCTTAATATTTCTCTTGTGGCCCGTACATAGTAAAAAAAAAAATTGAAGAAACGTATTTGGTTTTTGAAAGTCGGCGCTTTAAATAGGCTAAATAAAGCTTTTTATTTCATTGATTTGTATTGATGACTGCAGTGTTAATATTTTAATTATAGGTGTTATCCTCGCAGCGTGTCAGTTATGCGGTAATATTGCGGGGCAAATTAATTGTAAATTTAATTTAATAATAAAAGTAACTTCATAATAATAGGCCTAATAAAAATAAGAATGTAACAGATCTACATTAATTGAAAATGCCAAATCCTCTTAATATTGCCAATAGTTGATGTTTTTGACAATATCTCTGGCTATCGTCGATACAAGATCCTCGTCTTTCGACGCACCCCAGCACGGGGAGGTTATCGCGGGGCAGACAGCACGTTGCCTGTTATGTCATTTGGGCTGCCTTGTTGAGAACACTGGCACTGAGAACATTATATTTCACACACTTTAAGCTCTTTTATTTTCCAAATGTAATAGGATTAGTCCAACAAATCGTTCGGTTTGTAATGCAAACCGAAAGCCTCGTACCGAACAGTTCAATACGAATACGTGTGTCGTTACACCTCTAATATATATATATATATATATATATATAGAGAGAGAGAGAGAGAGAG